GAGCTGCCTGGTGGAGAAGGACCTGGGGGTGTTGGTTGACTACCGGCTTGATATGAGCCAGCAGTGTGCCCAGGGGGCCAAAAAGGCCAATGGGATACTGGCGTGTATCAAGAATAGTGTGACCAGCAGGAGCAGGGAAGTGATCCTGCCCCTGTACTTGGCACTGGTGAGGCCGCACCTGGAATATTGTGTCCAGTTTTGGGCCCCTCGCTTTAAGAGAGATATTGAGCTCCTGGAGCGAGTCCAAAGAAGGGCAACTAAACTGGTCAAGGGGCTGGAAAATAAAACTTATGAGGAGAGGCTGAGGGAGTTGGGGCTGTTTAGCCTGGAGAAGAGGAGGCTGAGGGGAGACCTGATTATGGCCTATAAATACTTGAGAAAAGATGGTGGGGAGGTAGGGGAAGGACTCTTTACATTAGTGATGGGTGATAGAACAAGAGGAAATGGACATAAGCTTAGTCAGGGGAGATTCAGGTTGGATGTTAGGAAGTATTTCTTCTCTGAAAGGGTTGTCAGCCACTGGAATAGGCTGCCCAGGGAGGTGGTTGAGTCCCCATCCCTGGATGCGTTTAAGAATATGGTGGATGATCTACTTGAGGATATGGTTTAATGGGGATTAGGGATGGTTGGACTTGATGATCTCTAAGGTCTTTTCCAACCTAGAAATCTATGAAATCTATAATATTTATACAAGTAGAAAAATATGTCAATACTGGAAGGCCCAGATAAATTACATGAAATGATGGTATCAACATGTAACATACACTCAGTGGATTCAGTGAAGGATGCATCCTATAGTAAATGACAAGAATGGAAGCTGAGTTAGGGTGATCTGTATGTAGGGAGGATTAAGGGGAGGAGAGTGAAGAATTTGTAATACTAAAATCTTGGACTACAGCAGTTGTCCGTCTAGGTTAATATCCCGTTTCCATGTTTTCTTTGTAAACATCTTGCAAATTGTGCTGTGTAAGTTGGATATCTTTGTAATCCAAGTAAATAAATAAAAAAAATAAAAATAAAAAAACCCAAATCTTAATGCATTTTACAGCAAATCACAATTGAAGGAAGAATGCAGTGACATGCAGGAATGGGAACAAGTGGTGAAGGACATAACTGGGAGTACTTGATGATAGTAACAGTGCCAACTATTTTATATTGTGAAAGACCAGCCAGATTCTTCATCATTGAAATTAGACATATTTCAAGAAGTCTGGGTCATCTGTTTAGCATGTCTTATTCTTTGGAGGTCTTTACAAGCAACAAAGATTCAAATTCTGCCATTAGCTAAGCAATACTTCTCTCATTTGCAGGAGAAACAATGACCAAAAGCTAGAGCCTGATCTTAATATACTGGTGTGATTGGGAATAATCTGTTCCTGCTCTTCTATTTAGGTAATGAAGTAGGGAATTTAGTCTAGAGAAATGGTGTGTTAGATGGGGCTTCTTTAGCTCAAGCTGATTTTAATTTTATGGTGTGTAGTTGTATATGACCTTGGGAGAAACACCAAAAAGCAGTTGTAACTGCTTCTGCGTGTGTTCTTCCTTATTTCCTTCTTGTTTTGGAGCATAAGTGTAGTAGTTACAATTCAGCCTACTTGATGAGGAGGGGTGTTAGCCAGATAGGTCTCCTGTCCAAAGAAAGCGAGAGGAGCTAACAGTGACAGTAACTGTAAGAGTGTCAACTATCAGGCTCGGCCTTGAATAAATTGGAAACGCACATTTCCAGTGTCCACTGAAAGTACTGCTTTGTGACTAACAGTTCGGGTTCTATCTGCATGCTCGTACATGCCCATGCTTACCCATCCACTATGAAACCAATTTTACAGGTAACTTTTGTTTTCAGAAGTGAAGACTAAAATGTTGGAGGTTTCCTCTCTCTGTTTATCAAGAAAGGATAGTATTCTTTTGAAGTTGCCCTGTTTGTTATTAATACCAGGAATCTGCTGATCTCTCTTCTTTCCAAATTTTTTTTTTCAGCTGCCAACGCAAATAAATTTTCTATAAGGAATAACTAAATACGAAACTATTTAATTTCATCTTTAATATTAAACTTCTTTATTCTTAGCCTGTTTTTTTTCTTCCCATCAGTTGGAACTCAAATGCATGCCTATTCGCTTCTGAGTGTGGATTAATTTTTATTGCAGTGGTAGTTAGCCACAGCACCTGAAAGTGAGACTTTATAGTGAAAGGCATTATATAAATTCATAGCACATACTTCCTTTCTCAAAGACTTTAGAATCTAATTAGATAAGCAAATTAAAGGCTGTGAGGAAAATGGATACAGGTACAGACCAACATTGAAATATACCTACAAGTTGTGTTGTGAATGCGCAAGGCGGGCCTCTGGCCTCAGGAGTTAACAGTCTCATTAAGGAAAATTGCAAAAGTTATGGTTTTTTTTTTTAACCTGAGATGTTAATCGACAAGAAATCTTTACTGAAAGAGAAGCTTTTTGTTGCTAGCAACACTATATTTTTGGTACTTGCTGTGAGCATCTTATTTAAAATGAAATGACATTGAAAGATTCTTATCTTTAAGGGTTTTGATTTAACTAACGTTACAGTAGGCCTGTTGGTTTACATATCCTTATATCTTGGAAGTATATATTTGAATTGAGTTGTTTGTTTTACATGGGGAGAGGAGTTTTCTGATGGCATAAATATTTTGGGGTTTAGGGCTTTTTTTAATGCCTGTCTTCTGACTTCCATCCAGAATGCAGACCAGTTAGCCTTTCTAGAGTATCAATCCTTATTCTGTGTTTCATTTTTAGTCCTGGTATCGGTGAAGGAGCCTTCTGAGGCCAATATGGAACGACCTTGCCCTGGTCTTTCAGAAGAGACTTCTTCACAAGGGTCAACGCATGATCCAAAAGAAATCAATGAAACCATAGTGACTGAATTAACTTCACCTGATGAAAAAGTAACTCGAATAGAAAACATACTTGATCTCTGGAGTGGAAATCTTAAGGTATTTATTTTATATGGAATCCTTAAAAATCATATACACATGTCAGTGTGGTGTAGAATAACTTTCTCCATTAGGGATGTTCAGTTATCATTCGATAGTTTGTTATGTCTGATAATAGTTATAAACAGCCTGTGTAATGAAGACATCACTGTAAGTATTCATGTCTCCTTAATTGCTAAGTGTTTTAAGATTAAAAGATCAGGGAGGAGGGAATAATTTTACTAATTGCACTACTGTCATCCCTTTAACTTTTCAGACAAATGTTCTGACTGAATTGAGAAAATGGAAGCTTAGTTTGATCGAACATCACAAGCTTCAAATGAGACAAGAAAAGGAGAAACATGCGGCACACGTCAGACAATTGAGCAATGAGATGGAAAACCTAAAGGAGTTGCTACGTACTTACGAAATCTCTATTGGCAGAAAAGATGAGGTAGTAGCTCAATTTCACAATTCAACAGTTCTTCCCTTTTTAAAAATATCCATAGTGAATTTTTAGGTCCATCTCTTTGAACAAAATTCTTCTTGCAGCAAGTAACAGAACAAAGTAAATAATATACTGGCTTAGATTAATCGATTAGCTCTTACACTTTAAAAATGTTTAATTTTTCAATGATTGGATTGGTTTTCTTGAATTTTAAAAGGGCAGCAGTCTCTTAAATATTAGAAAGTCTCTGGTTTAGTATTCTTAGAAATTGTACATTTGTACAAATTCTTAAGATTGTACATTTGGTGTCTCTGCGTTACGCTTTTCTGTTATCAACAATATCAACGACTTCAAAATTAACTAATTTATCCTTCCACTGTGGAAGTGGATATAAAATTTTGACAGCCTTGCAATCACACAACGTAATTGAATCCTCTTACTGCTCTTCTGAAGTTTTAACCTTGTACTTGAGAACGCTCAATGGAGTTTGGATTTTTAAATCCTATTTACCTTCTTTTTAAAAACATCCATTGAAGGAGTAAAAATATGGAGGAAGATCATGTTCCATGTTCCTTTGAAAACAGTCTAATCTTACAGACCAAGCAAATACAAACATTGTAACATTACAAGAACAGGATTAGTACAGTATCGTTTATCTAGTGCATATCTGTAGAGCCATGGTTATTTCAGTGTATACCATTCAAACATACCTAATTCTATTGGATATCATTGTATGTCACTCGTGTTTAATGTGTCATAATTCTTGATGATACTTTGAAAGCAGTATCTTTTTTCTGATGCAAAGAAATTATTTCTTCAGCCAATTTTACAGTTCTGTTTCTAAAAATTTATTTTCAGTAGAAAATTATTATTGCCACCGTGTTAATGGTAGATGGGAGTGCTTCCATGTATCACACCATATTTATCAAAACTACTATATTCTGACATGGGTATAACCCAAAGTCCAACAGCCTCACAAATATTATGAATACTGTAGATTCTTGTTTTCACATTGTAATTCTCACAAATGCTTTTTAGTGGCAAAAACCTACTAATTAACAAACATGGATTCAGGCTAAGACTTCCAATGTGTATCAACAGGTATCAAGCAGCATCAAAAGTTGGTGTTTTATGTTAGTATATGACACTTTTTCAACAAAAGTAATTGATTATATTAATTTGCTTTTCTTTCTATTTTCTTATTTGATTTGTTGATAATTTATGCCAATATACTTCTAATTTTAGATAAATTCATTGTTATTTATATAGCCGAGACTAATCAGTTATTCTGAAATGGCAAAATGTTAAAATTAGTCATATTTAAGCAGAGTAGCTTATACTAGATTTATTAATATATAGTGCTATGAAGTACTCGTTCTCAAAAATCTGGAGATGGATCAGCTTTAAATTACTTGGAATGTATCAAATCGACCTTTATTTTTTCTGACTTTGGTATTTTGAACACCTTAAAGAAGCCAAGCTTTTGCCTAGTAATATTTCATTAAACATTCTGAAGATTGACTGAAGCAGTTTGTATAAAATTCTGTACTGAAACAAAATAGGAGTTTTGTACTATTTTATTGATAACTTTGTTGATTTAAGGGTAAATTTTAAGTATCATACATTTCACTGATGGATGTTCAATAATTATTCCGTGTAACATGTAGTATAACATACTAAGATACGTTAGCATATGACATCATAGAATATCGTTCTTCATAATCTTTATGCAGTAGTTAAAATAACTTTACGTTAGTCTCAAGATGGTCACTATTTCCCGTTGGAGTTGCTCATGAGTGACTGATGCCAGAATTTTGCTTAAGAAGTTAGGCAAAAATATATAGAGAAATAGTGATTCGGTGTACCCAATTTGCATCATGCCTGGCCTAATTTTCAATCAGGGAACCTCAGCTGCTTCTGTATACTGATTAAAACATATGTAGGCATTGGTGGTAAAAGTCCCTAGCTGCGTTCCCTATCCAGTAGGCCATCGTGCCTCTCAAATGTTTTGATTCTGATAGGTCTATGTGATGTCTTTATGGGAACTTTTAAAGAGAATAACGATTCTTAATGAGACTTTGCAAGTTCTTAGCAACTCCTTAGCTTGTTTATTCTGTTCAGACAGTTGAATAGGCTTTCTGCAGGTAAATTATTTCTTTATACTTCAGTTAATAATGCATTAAACCAAACTTTTAGTATAAATGTTCCTAATTTGTCACAATTGTCTTTGAAGTAAGTGATTCTTCTGACCTTACGCTACAGTGACCTTTAATTATAAGGAAGTAGGACAGAAACCTGCAGATGCAGGGTGAAATAGCAGTACAGTTATTCATCCTACACAGTGAAAGTGTCTAAGTGCTGCAGTCTGAGTGTTGAAGCCACAGGAAATTTACTTCTTATTTGAACTCTGATTATTTGATGAGGGTAAGGGGAAGATTCAGTAAAAAACATCTGTTAAATGCTTTAAGTGAAAAAATAACTAATGCATAATGTACATTCTATTTGACCTTAAAATGATCGTAGCTATTGACACAGTGTTAATAAATATTTTTGCAGGTGATTACTAACTTGACCCAAGCATTAGAGAGGCAAAAGGAGAGAATAGAGTTGATGAGAAAGTTTACGCTGTGGCGGATTCAGCATGTTAAAGCCAAACAAGAGGTATGTGCACAAAATGAAAATGCAATGAAAATGAAACCTCTGAACTCAAAAGGGTTGGAGTTGCTGCAGTTCCTGTTACAGTTTGAAGAAATGGCAGTGTTTCTATTTTGATGTGTTTGACAATGTCAAATAAGAGTTTGAAAACACGAGTTCTAAAAAGGACTCTGCTGTTGGAATACTCTCTGGGATGGTGAAAATTACTGCAATTATTGTGATCAGCTCACAGCAAATCACCATAGTTTACACTATCTGTAGGTGCCAAGGGAATCTCTATCTAAATTTCAAATGCATTACTTCTAAAAAGTGATATGATACAGTATCATATTTTTGGAGGAAGCCACTTTCACAATTAAAACTTCAGCTGCCCTCTGTTCTCGTATTGCCAAAACTTCAAGTGGCCAAGAGCTAGTCACACAGATGATGTTGGGCATTGCTTCAGGCATCTAACAGTAAACAGTCTACTAAGTGACGTATGACAGAAAAGAAGGATCCCAAGGATACTAAGTGAAATATGACAGAAAAGAAGTATCCCAAGGATCCTAAGTGAAGTATGACAGGAAAGAAGGACGGCAAGACTTCCAACCTTTCCCATTCCAGGCTGTTTAAAAGGAGAAGCTGTATTTGAGACTTTTCTTCATTGGTACAGACAGATTCCTGGCTAGACTCAAGTTCATTGACGCTATCCAAAACTCTGCTGATTTGCAGAGAAGGATAGCCTTTTCTCTTTTCCTTCCCTCCCATTTTAGAATTTACTGGTAATTTGAACTCTGTTTTTTACTCAGCTCTTTTAATTTTTTCTAATTAATTTCTGAAAAAATAATTTAATGCTGACTGTTAGTGTGGTGACTATTTTGAAATAGAGTAATTGAATCATCTTAAAGGACTTTTTAAAGCATCCTGAAGTCTAAATTTATTTTTTAAAATTGGTGTTTTATGGTAATCATCTGCAGTCTTTGTGACTGCAGGTTTTATAGGGTTCCTGCAGTGAATCAAAATATGCCATATACCCACTAAATGGCTTCACACATGCATGGTTACACAACAACCTCACTTATATGGTGTAAGTGTCATTAAGCTCAGAGTGAAAACACTGTTCTGTGTATCCTATGAGTTCACAAATATGGTTTCTCATACTGGGGATGGTAACGCTCCCTGACGTGTGCAGGAAGAAACTTCGAACTGCTAATGCTATGTTTGTGTACCACTTCACTGCGGCACGTGTAACTCAGTTTAGGAATTCCTACTGTGGTCTGTGTAGTAAGGTGTAAAACAATCATCCTTACTCTCTTGAGTACTTACATTTTTAGGAAACCTGAACTCGCATATGATGTGGCTATATTTGTTTCCTAAGGAATATGCAAATAGAATAGCAGACAGACAATTCCGGACAGCTTTGATGAAGAAAGTATGGGCAGCATGGCGCTCTCTTAGTGAAGAAAAATGGAAAGAAAAAGTAGCAAAGGCCTGTCAGTTAAGGGCAGAAGATGTCTGTGTTCAGCTCACCAATGATTATGAAGCCAAAATTGCAGAGGTAAAAGATTTCTTTTCTTTTGTTCTTTGTCTCCTTCACTCCCTCACTTCCCTATCCTTCTAAAGTATCTCTTTCTCAGCAAACTTGAAAAACATGAGGACTTTGCAGCAGATCAGGGCTCCTAAGTACACAAGATGATGTGAGGAGATCTGAGGTCTCTACTATGGTTTCTAGATGTGACTTTTTTTTTTTTCCTTGCATCTGGTGTAAAACGTTGCTGATCTGCACGCAGAGGAGAAGTAAATTGGACTCTTCCTGAAATGAGACAAATCTCTATTTGTTCACCAACAGGGACAACACTTTTTATCTAAGAGCATGCTGTTAATGTTGGCTATGCGTTTTGAGGTCTTACTGAAGAAGACAATGGAAATAGAAGACTATTTTTGTTATGAATGATTGTGATGACTACAACGTTTTTTTCCTATAATAGCTACTCTTTTAAAAGCTTTATTTAAATTGGGTTTTGCCTTCAACTTGCCACTTAAGCTAGTTGAAGAATTTTCAAAGCTTAAGGTACAGTTAAGTTATCAGCGTTTGCTGCACAGTAAGTAAATAAAATTTTAAAATACACATTTTAAAAGCTTTGTACTTTGACAAGAAAGTAAATCCAGAATTTTAAGAACAGGCTTAACAAATATGGCTTACTAGTGCGAAAACAGCAAGTAGTGAGTTACAAAGATAACTTGGTCTGTCTTTTCTCAGCATTTTCAGTTTTTTACAGTAGTTAGAAAAGAGAGATTGCTAATGACAGTTCATCCTGTGCTTAAATAGTTTTCGGATAGCACGTATTCTTCTGTTGCATGAATCCATGTTCCTGTGGAAATCTAGCTAGTGCCAGGTGCCGAACTTCTTAAAGGCAAAAACTTGCAGGATAAATTTCTGCTTAGCTGGTTAGGTAGGGTCTGACAGTCCTTTCGAAGCTCTAGTCCTTGGTATGCTCTAGTACAAATAATGTGCTGTAGTACAAAGAAATGACAAGTAGCTGTTCATCTCTGGTGAAACAGAGGTTTTGAAGTGAAAATACGTATCTTTGTAAATGAGCTAAGTGACTTTTAAAGCTAATTGAGGAACATGTTGGTAGTTTGCGTTCAGAAGTACAAGACAGCTGTTTCCTTATCCTCTTTCATAGCTAACTGCTACTTTGGAACAGACAAAAGCTGAGATTCTGCGATTGCACAGTGAAAGAGAACACTATGAAGATACCATGAAGAAAGCCTTTATGCGTGGTGTATGTGCTTTGAATCTGGAAGCAATGACCATGTTTCAGGGCAAGGACAGTAGGACAGATCCTGGTCAGTATAAAAAGCGGGTCTAATTTGGTAATGTGTGTGGGTTTTTGTTGGGTTGGTTTGTTGGTTTTTTTTTGTTTGTTTTAAAGGATTCTCCCTTTTCACTTTGGGTTGTTGGGTTTGGTTTTGTTTTGTTTTGTTTTTTAATTTAGTACGAGGACTTGTCACAGTAGTGAGTTTATCAAACTCTTACTGTTTTAAAAAGTCCTGTTGAATATGCTGAGAAATATTCTGATGTTGAACTTTTTATTGCTGTAGTTGAATGGTGGAACATAGAGGGTGGTAGCCTGCAACTAAAGGCAGAAAAAGAAGCCAGGGATGGCAAACTGTTTAAAATACTGTGGAAGATTACCCAGAAATCTGTCAGCACCCAGGTTATGGGATGGAATGAGGGGGAAATCTTGGAAAAGCCGAATCTGTTCTCTGGAATCTTAGTGTGCAATGAATCTGCTTTTCCCAGATAGCTCTCCCTTCTTTCTTAATCTTGCCTTTTGATGCAAAAAGGGCAAGTAAATCTCCCTGGTTCTGTATTCAGTTGGAGTTCTGTTTTTTTTCTTTCCTTGCATCTAGTGTAAAAAGTTGCTGATCTGCACGCAGAGGAGAAGTAAATTGGACTCTTCCTGAAACACTGGTGTAATTATACCAGCAGCACACTCGTAAAACTTGACCAGTTATGCAGGAAAGAGCTGCACACCCTTACTGATCCAGTGAAATCACCCCCTCAGAGTGAAAAAATCTATAGCAGTAGGAGCATAATCATGCTGGTGCAGCAGTCTACAGTAAAGAGAAAATAGCTTTACCAGCAGGAGCGTCACAGCTGTATGTGCGGCTTAACAACCAGCAGTACTGGCAGCAGTTGTTAATGGCCTTAGACAAGTAACTTCAGTTGCTAAACTTAATCTTAAGCCAGAGGTTTCTGAACTACTCTAGAGAAATTCCTCTCCGAAAATTTAGGTATGAAGAGGAAATAAAAACCTGAACAAGATGTAGGAGAATACTTACCTGGGCAGCTCTCTGAGCCTGTTAAACACGTGGTATTTATGCAGTTGCTTAGGAAATCAGAATATGACATTGGCCAAGTGCAGTAGCTAGTAAAAACATAGGATCAGTATTTGGGAAAGGTGAAGAATGAATGGTTTCTTGAGGATGCTGAGTTTGGGAGTAAAGTTACAGGGCATTGCCCAAGTACTTTATTTTCACTGTGTTGTAAATTAAGAACTACTCTGTCTTGAAGCTTTTATCTTATATTTGTTTGTTTATTGTTTTCCAAAAACATGCAACAGACAGTGGGTCTCCTAAATAATGATGGGTAAAAGAGTTATGTGAAATAGGAAAGAATTATTTCTGTAAACCTGTAAAGAAGAGGGTAAGTAGGAAGGAAAATAAGAAAACTGAGCTGTAGAGCTGCCATGACCAACCCCTGGGATTCACGGGACAAACATTTTGCTTGATTTTTACTGTGAAGCAAGAGCTGATACTTTATACACAGGCACAGTACCTAGAGATTTTGCTGTGCTGGACAACACTGGGGTGCGTACCGAACTTTTTGGGTATCCACCATCATGGTTTTAATTTCCTGTGGTCACTGTAGCGCTCATCAGGCTTCATAACATCTCACAGTCTCTGTGGTCCTTGGTCCTATGCCAGCCATCTTCTTCTGCTGTGTCTCGTACCACCTTCTCCCCTGCCCCAGGCATGCTGTATCTTTCCTGCTACAGCCAGACAGTACTTTTGATGAAGTTAGTTACATGATTATTTAATATGGTTGTACAACTGTTTATTTGCATTCTTCTTCAGGTATACTAGAACAGTGATCAGGACATCAGAGGACTTGAGACATAAGATTAGATGATTATTTTTCTAGTCTTGTCACCTGTGCACATTAAAACATCCATGTGTCAGTCAGTGATATTTTATGAACACTACAGTGCCAGGTACTGTCTTTGGAAATAAAAGCAGAATTTGTTCCTTTTACAGATTTATTATTATTAGGTTATTATAATGTACATTTAATATACAAATAACATACACATAGTACACATTATAATATAGGTTATTAATAGTGTGCAAGTATTGCTACCTTAATGGGTCCATAACATTTGGAGTCAAAGCTGATGGTCTAAAATCTATCAAATCAGCTCATTTACTGACAGATTATCTTTTTTAAAAAATTATTATTATTATACTATTTTAACGTCTTTATGTATTTAAAGGAATGTGTAAGCCAGAAGAATTCATGACTATTTACTTCAAAAAAATCTAACACTGCTTTTTAAAGCAAGTTTGCAGATGACAC